TTCACAGTTTGACACAGGATGCTTTCTCACATTGGTGTAGCTAGGGCTAGTATAACACAATTGGGGCATGGCACCCCCAACCCAGGTGTGCCAATGGTATTGCCTCCTTTCCTCCTCTTTTCTGACAAAACCACAGAAAACTGCCACACAGCCATGCCTTAGCAGACATTGCCTTGCGGCAGGCTTTGGCTGGGACCCTTGCTCTGACTCCGGATCACACTAAACTTCTACTCCCCAGTGACAGACAGAGGCTTGAACTCAGACAAAGTTTCTTGCCAGGATCGTCCCCAGATGCAGACCCCTCCTAGGGTGGCACGTGGGTGGGCGCGGTGTGCCCAAGGGTGTGCAGACTGCTCTGACGGGCCAGGGGATGCACTGCCCTGAGCTGATTTCCTGCTCCCCCAGCTCACAGGGAGGGCGGACAGAGTCCCGTGGACACCTCTGTCTCCTTCACATGCAGACAGTGCTTAAAGCCACGTGGGTCCTCAGCCTCCCCCTGTCAAAATGGAAACCTCACAGCTTAAGCCCACCTCATCCAAGCTGGTAACTTTCTCCTTTGCTTTTACACACAGACATGATCTCACCAGACATTGCTTTTATCTGCAAGAAAATTTCTCCCTCTTGCTGTTTTGTTCTTAAAGACTGCTCTCCAGGGCTACATAGTCTTTGCTTTAAATGGGGTGACCCCAATACTATTGTGAATGATTATTCAAGGATGAAGCACAGACTCTAGTCCAACGATTTTTACAAGACAACTTAAATCAATACGATCTTCCTGATTAGTAGTTTTTAGAAAACCTATGTGCTACATTATCCCTATTACATTCACCGTTATGGCTCATTTTTGCTATGTTTGTTCATGCAGTACATTATCAAGCAGCTGAAGCGTTTGCTCTGTTGTCCTTCAGACTGCACTGATTTCTTCTGGAAGAAAGTGCAGCTCAGAAATCCTCTGCTGTGGATTTTTGTACCGAATATTTTACAGTAAGCCACTTGTTACTAATGAGCCTAATTCTACTTGTACAACACCTTTTATAACCTTTACTTTTAAAAAATATTTGGGAAAATTTACAATGGTAATTGAGGTGTTTATTAAATGATGGCCTCCTTGCAAGATTAAACTGAACATGGCATTGCAATTCAGACCATTTTTCAGCTTTGTGTAGGAAAAAAAATAACTGCAAGCATGGAAGCCAACATTTTTCACAGCACACCTCTGAATATTCTTTTTTTTTATTGCAGACTGTCTGCTGTAGTACAGCAATGATTTAAACAGAAAATATACTAAAAGCCTGAAATCTAAATCTAATTTGTAGTCTAAATGATGCACATGATTGAAAATGTATTATCTATTCCCAGCAAATCAATATAATTGAAACACTAATGTTTCCCTAATTTTAAGCACCATCTAGTGAGTCAAACATTAGATTTGATCTTCCAAATTACGTCTGAAAAAAAGTAAGATCATGGCTTGACTGTATCTCACCTAGTGCTATGTCTCTTCCTGAGGCTCATAAATTAGCTGTTTAGCACTGTCTGCTCTCTTGCTAATGGACATGAAATACTCCTCCAAAAGGTGCCGAAGACCCAGGCTGCTGCCTGCAGATAATTTGTCTGTTGACAAAGGCCAGGTGCCACTGAGTAGGCTCCCTAGTTTTAGACAAAGCTGACTGCCTAAAAGTGGAGCAGGACGAAACCTCATTTCAATAACGACAATCTTTTTCTGTCAGTCCAGAGCAAAGGACTGGAAAGAAACGTGGCTTTATTTCAATTATAAGTGAAAGAAAAAAAAACCTCTGGGCAAATAAACAGCTTTATAAGGATCATGATTCTTACTATTTCTATTAGCTGGCTTGCCACGAAGATGAAGTAGGTCTGGGAGGGAATTGCACAGCAAATCTGCATACCATTATAGGACCAGCTTATCCAGCACTGGTATTAAATCAGCTCAGTTATATTGGTGCCGGCTCCTGTGGTAACGCACTGTAGTTGGCTGGCAACTGATCTGTATAAACTGCAGCCCATGTGCTGAATTCATTTGGAGAGCAAGTGATGCACAACCAGTTTGGTTAACGCGGCATCACTCCAGGCACAGGCATGGATGTTCAGTCTGAGCCTCATTTGGCCTCTCTGAAGTCACCGTGTTTGTGGGTGGTGCTGTGCTGGTACTTCACACCTGCCACAAAACCAGTGTGAGCCTGGGCGGTGTCTGGCCTGGCCTTGCTGAGGGAGAGGAAAAGGCATGCTGCCTTTGCCTGGGAGTGCATCCTTTGATGGGGGAAGTTTGTTTTGGCTGCTGCTGGCAATACCCACAGTTGCCCAAGCCACATCTCTCAGCCCTTTCTGGTACATTTAGATCTGGAGGAAGTAGGATTTAATTATGTGTCCTCAGTCTCAGCTTCTATGGCTTACCAGAGTACACAAAGCACCTTACCAGTGCTGGGGGACTGTTGGCCATGGCTCAACAACAGAACAGTGCAGTTTCTCTGCATCGGGTGGGCATCATGTGCCAAGGGTCTCTCTCAGCGGTGGGTCCCCAGCTACCGGCCCAGCCGGTGCCTTGCCTCTGCTGTGCTCTGGGTTGGGGCACTACAGCTGCTTGGGAGGCTACACAGTGAGGGAGGCTGAGGACCTGACCCAGGCTACAGAGAAATCTCCACTGTTGTATTTTTGGGTTTTCCCTGACTCCCCTCCGAACATCAGTTCCTGGCTGTGTCACCTCCCAGGCCCCCACCTCAGAGCAAGAGTGGCAGCACAGGCAGAGGGCTGATGGAGGACGAGGACCATTGGCAAAGAGGTGGTGCCAGGACTTGCTTATTCCAGAACTGCTGCAGAAAAATCACTCTTGTGCTGGCGGTGCAGCCTCCTGCTCCCCTGTGCTCACTGCTCAATCTCCCAGGGACAGTGCGATGGCATAGAGCCGGCTTGCTGCTTTGAAACATTGGAGATTTATCTGCAGCTCATGTTATTGAAATCTGGTACCTTATGGGGTTAAACTGGGGAAAGCAGTATCTTTAGGAGTGGGAGTATTTAAGGCACCTGGTCTCTGGTTTGTCCAAACAGGAAAAGCATCAGACCAGAAGCTTGGACTCAGCTGCACAGCTTTCCTAAGGACATCTGACATACTTCAGAGTTGTCCCAGCATGGGCATAGGCAAAGCCACTGGGAAAGAGAAACAAGGTATTCCTTTCTTCCTTCATCCCCACTGCCTGTACATGTAATTTTGCTAGCAAGGGAGAAGACTTTTTAGGAAGATCTGTATTTATAGTCTATAATGTCACGATGGAAAGAGAGTTCAAGCAGTAAATAAATTTTCAGAGCTATACAACAATGAAGAGCAATGTTTTTGGAGTCATTCCCTACAAACAGATCAAAGCATGTGTAGGTATCAGTCTGCTTAGCAAGACAGCTGAGGGTCACTAGAACAGCCACATGGCACGCACATTAGGATCCACTCCGCTCCCAAACACCCCCCAGTTCCAGCGGTGAGCCAGAATTGCACGATATCACATAAATAAATATAAATAAATACTGTAAAAAGGCTTTACCTTTGGCTTGAGCAAAAGGTGAAAATTTTCAGTCCTGCAGGATCCTCTTCTGCCCCCAAGTCTGCTGGCTCATAATGCAGTCAAATGGTCTGGCATTTATCAACCCTGTCAAGGTTCGCAAGTCCTGAGTGTGTTTGACTTGGAAAAAATGGTGTCAGGAGGAGATTCCTGAACACCTCCACCCAGAGTTACACAGGGAAAAAAAAAAAAAGAAAAAGAAAAGCAAGGTTTAAGAGATCAGGATGTGTAGTCTGCCCAGAGCTACTATTCCTGGTAGAAATCAGACCCTGAAGGGCCTGGGTGAAAATCAGGGATAATCCCCGTATACGTGCTTCTAATTGGGACAAACTGAAAGTGAGAAAGCTGAGCGAGTCAGCTCTGGCCCATCCCTGGGGGCTCCGGGTTTGTTGCCAGCTAGTAACCAAGAGAACAATTATGTGAAGCCTCCTCTATAAACAGATCTTGGTTTATTATGGCCAAACTGGGGGAATCTATTTTTGTCACTGCTTTGTGCGAATGTGTCACCCTTGTGATTTCCAGCCAGGTCATTCCGAGTCAGCTGCTTTGGCTGCGGCTGTCGGTGGAAGCTTCTCCATCCGCCCGGTCCCTGGCCCCTTTGCTTGCCTGCCTGGGTCAGCTCCCGGGCAGGAGGGACGAGGCGATGTGCCTGTGGCTATTCTGGTAGCTGTGAGTTATGGTGGTGTCATGTGAAGGAAAGAGCCCAGAAATGCATGTCAAATCGAACCAGTGACTAATCATGATATTTTGGTTGTCTTAGTGCCTGCCGGGCTAAGATTTATGGGATTAGAAAATCTTCACGCAATAATCCCTGGGTGCTGATTTGATCTTCAGCTGAGGCTTCTTAAAAGAGTGTGAAAAGAGGACGAAAAGGGGTCTGCTGTCCCACGGGTGGCAAGGTCTAAACTTATCTCAGTTAGAAACACAAACAAGAGAGGAGAAAAGCCAGCACTCCTTTCTCGTCCGTGTCTGCTCGGAGCCATGCCCTGGCAGCCAGAGAGGATCTACTTGATCTGCCTGCGGAGCAAGAAGGGTCGAGGATGGTGGCTGAGCAGACACAAAGTGTCATTTGTTGGGATTGGCATCTAGCTCCCTCATCTGTCACCCGATGGCTGGCCAAGCAAGTGCTCAGCACAACCATGGACCATTCATCCTTGCACAAGCGTCGGCGGCAAGAAAAGTAAGCATTCTACAGCTGCTACGGCATTCAGCTGTTTTTTTCTAGAAAGGAATGCATTGAATTCACTACAAATCTACTAACCGTCTCCCTATGCCAGGCAAGAGACTGATTTTTTTTTTTTTGGTTGGGCTTTTCTCTAACAGCTGGAGGTCTCCTGGGCATTCAAGCAATGGCTGTTGAATAGGGCAGCTGTTTCAATATCTAACTGCATTTTAGCTTTAATAACTCACGGGGAAAGCGTTGCATTGCCTACCATGAGCTACTTCCTGTCCTACTGCAAAGCGCACTGCACTGCCGTGCTCGCCCAGTACCAGACCCTGAGATCAGAGGGCTTTCTGTGCGATATTTTGCTGAAAGTGAAGGAAAACGAGTTTCCTGCACACAAATCCTTGTTGGCATGCTCCAGCGACTATTTCCGAGCCATGTTCAAAAGTTACACCCGAGAGTCTAAAGCCAGTGTAATTCACCTGCAAGTTGTCTCACCCACCGGTCTCCAGCACGTCCTGGATTTCATTTACACTTCCTTGCTGCCCCTTTCCTTTGAAAGCCTGGAGGATACCTTGGAAGCTGCAAGCTACTTGCAAGTGACTGATGCTATCGGTTTGTGCAATCAGTACTTAGTTAACAATCTTGCCTTGGAAAACTGCTGCTTCTCCGCCAATGTGGCCGGGAAGTTCTACCTGCCGGATGCCTTAGCAGCAACAGAAAAATACATTGTCAATAATCTCTGGAAGCTTCTGGACTCGGATTTGCCAGGATTGCTCGAGCTGAACTTCAGGTCTTTGCTAGCAGTGGTTCGGTCACCAGATCTCCCCATGGTGAAAGAAACCCGCCTGTTGAATCTTGTGCTGCTGTGGCTGAAGCAGGATAAATCCAGGCTGGCTCACACAAGCAGCCTTTTAGAGCACATAAGATACGGCCTCATCCCGGTGGAAGAGCTAAGAAAAACCTACACACAGTCAGAAGTGCCCCTCTCTGCAGGTATTAAATGCTTGATCATTAAAGCAATAAATTACCATACATCTGTTTTCAAACAGCCTGTCCTGCAGGATAATTCCACCACACTGAGGAACCAGAAAACTCGGATCATTCTGCTGGGGGGAGGGACAGCAAGCGAGGGGCTCGTCACCGATGTAGTGGCCTTCGATGTTTACAATCACAAATGGCGAGCTCTCACGCAGGTGCGGGACAGGGTGCAGAACCACAGCGTGTGCGTGGTGGGGAACTTCCTCTACGTCTTGGGTGGGGAAATAGAAAGCAGTGCCCTGAGTAATGCTAAAACTGAAAAGATCTTATTGGTTACGAACAAGGTCCATCGTTATGACCCAAGATTTAACACATGGACCCAAATCACGGGCATGCTGGAAAAGAGATGCCAGTTTTCTTGTTGTGTCCTAGGCAAGGATATCTTTGCCATTGGTGGAAGGGGTGAGGATGGGTTGCTGCATTCATCTGTGGAAGTCTACAACATCAGCAGGGACAGATGGACGAAGGCCAGGGAATTGCCATGCAAGGTACATGGCCATGCCAGTGCCATTTGCAAGAATACTATATACATCTCGGGTGGCAAGTATGCAGACCCAGTCAACACAAGCAAGGACGTATATTCTCTGAGTTCACTTGAAGGGCAGTGGGTGAAACAAGCCCCCATGAGCATTGCTCGGTTTGGGCATCAGATGGCAACAATCAGGGAAGCCATATTCACCTTTTTAGGATTATACGAACAGTTCTCTGAGATAGAAAGATACGACCCTGATCAAAACCAATGGACTCGGTTAAGACCACTGATCTATGATCGATTTTGCTATGGCCTGGCAGTGGTAGAAGAAACGGCTCTTCTTATCGGGGGAAAGAAATGGCAAAATTCACAGGAAGTCCCCACGCAAGATGTGGTTGGCTACGACATTGACAACGATGGCTGGGAAGAGATCTGCAAAGCCCCCTTGCCTTGGTGTGGGCTGCAGTGTGCGGTGCTGCAACTCTCTGAACTGGCCGATGAGCAGGATGGTGACAGCCAGCAGAAAAGGCCGCCGAACTGCTGAGCTCAAACGCTGCGGAATAACCCTCCCAGAAGGTGAGCCAGCAGGGCGGTCCTGGAGAAGAAGAAAATTGCAATGGCATGAAACATGACAGAGTGGAGGTTTTGCTTTGATAAGCCAAAGGCTTGGTGGAAACAGGCAAGAAAGTCTGTCTCCAGAATGGGGAAAGGTGCTGGGATCTATAGAGCTGGAAGCTGATCTCACTGGGAAGGATGTAGCAAGTAGCACACTTAGAAACAATGTGTGAAAATCGCAATCCTTGACTTTTGAAGAATAATACCTAGATAGCAATTAATAGGTGTTGCAAGTCAGATTTTTCAAAGGTTTAAAAATATAATCCATCTTTTCTGTTTTCTTAATCAGAGGTAATTTTCCCAGCTGGTAAGTGCTATTGAATTTTCATGCTATGGCTAAGCAAAATGAAAGTGAGCTGTATAAAGACTAGAAAATTGATGCCTATGAGAACTAATAATAAGCACTGCAAAGAAAAAGGTATTATTTGATATGCTACATACTAGGCAAGAATGTCTTAGCTACCAGCATGAAATTACTGGACAGAAAGCATGGATTTTTTGATATGTAGACTCAGTTATGGCCATAAGTTAAAACAGTGAGTGTTTGATAGAAGCCATTTCTTTCTGAGTGGCCTTTGTTGTAGTATGCCTTTCAGATGCTTAGTTTGCGTTATTTTAAAGATGCACAGTACCAGTACAGTACATTTCTTTTGTATCCAAACCTTCTGTTAGTTTAAATGGCCAGAGCTGAATGGGTATGCTTATTATTAGACTCTAAGAAACATGTTACAGGAGTTGCTGTAACTAATGCCTTGATACTTACCTTGGTAGTGTACACTGCTTTATCGTACCTGCTCATAGCACTAAAATTGTTCATAGCAGTTGAACTTGTACATGAACTTGTACATGAGAGAACCCTGTGGTCAAAAATGATTTACATTCATCAAAGAGTATGATGGGGAGGGAGGTAACTGAAGGGTTTCAGAACTCTTTATTCAGTGTCTGCCTACACACGAAAACAGCAATAGTTGGCCATGTTGGCAGGGTTCGAAGGCACAGATTATGGGGGTACTTTAAGGCATGTGGATCTACGAAATGCAGGCAAAATGGTCAGATGCCGCAGAATCACTTTGGTATAGAGTAAATTGAATCTCGAGTCACAAAGATTCATTTAAAAGCTAAATTTATTGTACTTCATTTTACAGTGTTCCCTTTCTAGGCTGAGAGTTAATACAATAAAAATATATATAGAAGAACATTTAATAGTCTTAAAAGAAGGCAGCACAATGGAGAGGACACATGTTCTTTGTCACTAGACTAGCTTAAAAAACTGTAATGTTTAATTTTCACCTTTAAAGCAATCAAGCTGACTTTACTAATGTAAAGTGCAGGCAGATAGCTGTTGCATAGCAACAGATCTAAGTCTTCTGAACTGCCTTGGTTTTGACAAGGAATCAACTACACAATGTGCATATACATCCATCAGATATAAAGAGGTTTTTATATGAATATATTTACTTTTGGTCCAGTAAAACAATAGCAAGAGAATCTAAATGCTTGGAACAATAGCACAATCCATTTCAAGTCAAGCATTTTTAAAGAGAAATTTACAAAAACCTCACAAATTTAATATACAAGTCAGTACCCATGCAGTAAATAAATGTCCAGTTTATACAAACAATATTCTTCTAATGGTACAAATATTACACTGGATCCAGAATTCTATACAAACGTTAATACGTGATTTGTCATCCATATCGACTTGAATATAGGATTACTGAAAATGGGCTACAGGAAGGCCACTCTTCTGTACAGTTGTGCAAAATCTGCAAAACATTTGCAATCCAA